GGGGTTGTACCACGATAACGGAGGGCATTGCGGTTTGCGGTGCGAGAGGGAGAACCGGCAAGCTGGGGGTTTCACCGGTTTCCCGTTGCGTACTTGAGCGATTGTTTCCAACAGATCCGCACATCCCGCGCCGATGCGCGCCGTGCTGCCGTACAGCAGCCGGAGTTAGCAGGGTGTTGCAGTTTTGCCCATCAGCTGTCGCTGGGTGTTAAAAGTGTGTATTTCCTAATGCTGACAGGGTTGTGCTCAAGTTACTCTGGTGGTTGGGGTTTTTTGGTTTTTGGGTTTTTTTTGGTCTTAAACCTGTGCTGAGATCCGTGTTCAGCAGAGCGTTGAGACCAGGAACTGCAAAACTCCCCTTACCCCAGCCGATCCTTGTGCCGGCGTTTGTTGGCGTGCCTTCAGAAGTCAGTGTCCTCCGGTGTTTGTAGAAAGAAAGGTTACCGAAGTCTCGTTCCAGGTACCGTTGGTCCCATGAGTCATCTTGTTAATTGTGTGGGTTTGCAATTACGTTTTGCATTCTTTCCAGTTTAATGGAGAAGTTCACGCTGTAGAGACCTACATCATTAAATTAGGAAACCGACTGGTCTATTCAACACTTGCTAATACCTGAACAAAGCTTAATTCAACGGGAGAAAAGTGGTTTTCCCCTCTCAAACCTTCAGGAGAGGTTGGGGTTTGGTGGTTTTTTTTTTTGATGCTAAAGAACATTACAGACAACTGGATAAAACCTGGAATTAAACTTCCCACCTGTCCAGCTATTGGAGACCACCTGGAAATTCCACGTACATAAAGCAGGGAATCGAGACAAACATAAACCAGAATTTACCCAAAAAGAAGAGTTCATTTGATGTCTTTGCTATTGAGACATGAGAAAAAGAGGAAATTTCCATCTGAACGTTACCGACTGACAGGTGTAATTTGGAGTGCTGCTCTTTAATAAAAAAACACTAGCAGCGACCCAAAGAACCCCCAAAGAAGGATGCAGCAAGAAATGGAACTCGCCTCTTCAGAAACGCCGCCGCCGAACGCGCGGGATGGAAGTGAGTCGGGGCCAGGGCAGAAGGTGGTCTCGCTCCGCCGTGGCTGGAGAAGAAGGAGGCATCTTTGCATTCCCCGGACCGTGTCCACCAGATGGGGCCCGGCCCCCGCAGTTCGTCCAGCTCCTGCACCAGAAACCCGTTTGGCAGCTGCACAGCAGCAGCTTTGCTTTATTTCTCCTTTTGCCTGCAGAGGTTTCCCATGAGAAAGGGAACTTGGATTATTGAACTCCTATGTGACCACTTAGCACGTAAAGTTTTCAATTGCTGTTTGAAGCGTAGGAGAGATTAAGTAGTCTTTGGTTCGCGTGTCCTTGCCAAACGCAGTGCTTGATCAGGGAGTTGTACGTTCTCTGTACTACCTAGTTATAGCTGCAAATACTGTCTTCTACTCTAACTTCCCGTGAAACTGTGCCCCAGTGTATGAGAGTTGTCCTTGATCATCTTGGGCCTTGATTACTGTAACAAAATGCATCTAGAAGAAAAACTTCTGCTCTGAAAAAAATGAATTCAAGATGTGGCTGTCTGCCTGTTTCTCCTTGCAGTTCAGTGTGACAAAAAGGGCAGATAATCACCCGCAGCGAAATTTAAAACTGCGTTTCAGTAGTCCTGCTGGTTCGCTAGGCTCCTTCGGTTCTTCTAGATGGGCAACCAACCGTACAGTCAGCGTGCCAAAAGCTGCCCTTATTTTCTGTCAGGCATTGGGCTTCTAGCTGTGCAAGCAGGCGTCTCAACCGCAGTTATTTACTTATGTAAGGGAAATGTGTTTCAAATTAAACACACAAAAAAAAGACCTATGAGTAGTACATTTTTTTGTGTGTTTCTTCGTGCTTTATTCCAGGCTGTTTTTTTCCTGCAGCTTCTTTTTGGTTTTGATAGAACTCTGTTACAGTTCTTACAGAGAACCCCTTGAAGGCCCTGATTTGCCTTCCATATAGGAACCTGACCAGTCCCAGAGCAGGTGAGATTGGAATACATGGACTGACACACACAGAGGCTTGTGGAACCAGTCTCTTAGCACAGATCTGGTTTGGTACACAATTAAAGTAATACTGTTTGTGAGGTATGTACATACAGGAATACACATACATATATTCATCACTCACTGATACCTCAGTTAAGTGAATACCTGTGATAGTTAAGTGAATGCTGAACTTGCATCAGAACATCTCAAAATCCTTCTCTGTTGGTATTTGAATCCAGTCTGTTTGAAACAGAATTTTATCTAGCAGTCCATGATGCATCCGTTAGGTCTGTTGGCTGATCACTCCTCATTCATGTATGTCAGAATATGAATGTTAAGACCAAGCTTAGAAATGATTATTATATATGGGCAATGCTGGTTGTGGGAGGATGGTTGTCTGTAAGATGCAAGTCCCCTTACATGGTACACCTAAGCTCTTAGCAGGGCTTGTGAATGCTATAGCTTCTCCACTTAAGATTCGCAACTAACTGGGTGGAAATGAGAATCAGTCATTACAAGAAGGATGCTATTCATCAGGATGTTTTGCGTCTTGTATTTACCTCTTTGGTGGGCCACAGATTTATAGGTGAGTATTATCTAACGGAAGTGGAGACTGCTGGCAGGAAACCAGAGATGTTAGCAATAATTAGAGGAAAGCTGAAGGTTTTGGTATCTGCAGAGGGACAGGAGGTGGTTTGGAGCATGTATGGAAGCTCCAGCTAACCTGCATATCCCTAAAGAAAAGCATTGACAAGGACCACTATCAGAACTCACAAAAAGCAGAACCTTTGGATCTCACAAGGACTGAAAAGCCTTTCCTATGAAAGGAAGAACTTATTAACCACATTGCATTTCACCCTGTCTGTATGCTGAGGAATGCGTCTTTACTCTTGAATTCATGTTTTCAAAACACGTGAGATTAGAGTTTTAACCAGACTAAAGGGTGCCCTTAGGGCTAACAACTTGCCTGCAGGAAGGGCTTGCTTATGAATAAAGGACCCTGATTCAAGTCACGTGACTACATCTGAGACACCTACCTAAAACCATAGCTCTAGGGACAAGTTGCAACACTAATATTCATATATGCAGTACATTGCTCTTTCAACATGTTGTTCATACTCCTTTACCAAATAATGGGTGAACTTCTAAGACATGGGACCTACGTAGAGCCCCACATCAGGCCATGGGAAGGGAATCTAAAGTAATACTCAAGTTACAAAGCTGTCCAGCACCGTGTGTTTAGAATACAGACTCATCCATCTTTGTATACAATAGCAGTTGTCACGGGGTTATTACTTTTGCACCTCCATGAACCTCCTCAGACTCAGGGAGAAGAATTAGCTTTTGCACAATCTGAAGTTGAGGTTAAAAATGGAAATAGACTTTAACTTTCTCTCATGCTGCTGAAATTGTTACATCGTCCAAAGAAGGTGCCAATCTAAATAGTGAGCCAAATTAAATTAAGGAATACTTCTATAGCCAGAAGACAGGAGCTTCCAAAGAACCACAGGTATTTGTTGCCTGCATGTACTCTCCCAACATGAAGCAAGCAAGCTCTAAATCCTGATGTCCACAACTTACCAATTATCATTCCTCTGAGGGTGAAAATTAACCACTGCTTAAAAAAGAAGACATTACAGATCCTTAAAAAAAACCAAAAAAACCCAAAAGTCAGCATAATTAAAAATTTTCTTGGCTGCCTTTCTAGTACCAGGAAAGCAAATTGGCTTTTTCTACATGGTCTTCTTCACAGAGGTATGACTGCAGCAGGAAATTTATTACATTTTGGCATCTTCCAGTTCGTCATTGGCATATAGTTCTGAATACATCAAGGCAAAGTGTTAGCTGTCTACAGTGGTGATATCCTTTCTCTCTCTCTACACACAAGGTACTTCACACCTAATATGTTTTCCAAAGTTACTGGTTCCATTTACATTCAATGGACTTTGCATTAGTTTTTCAGGCTTCATTTTCAAAAACCACTTTGTTAACACCCCAGGGACAATTTCAATACCTGACTCAGGCCACAGCATAGTGGCAACAACATGTGCTTCGCTCCATTCCCTCTCCCTCACTGCTTGCTCCTTTCACTCTTGATCGTTTCTTTGCTTAACGCTGACCTGGTTCATCTCGCAGGAGTAGTGCAATTCTTTGAGCTGAGATGCTGTATAAACAACCCACTTTGCATCTTTAGTGTAAAGCGGTGATTTCCAGGCTGTGCTAAGGTTGTCTATATGAACTGCGTAAGCGAGCTTGGCTTCAAAGCATAAACAGACCTGTGACCACAGGTTTTCTCTATGCATACTGAATGCACATTTGGGCTGGGTAATAACATCTGTCAGAAAACAGGCTGAAGTTGCTACATAGCCATATCCTGAACTTTTTTATGGACAGAGTTTCTAACACTCTAAATTCTTGAAAATCTGCTGACACAGTTTCAGTCCTATTTTGCCAAGCGACACCAGCAATGAGAGTACTACAACCGAAAGCTTACAGTCTCAGGCAGAAGCATCCCATGGGCAGGAACATTTTTGTCCATAATTCACCATGCAAATTACACCACAGTAGACCTACGACTAAGAGATCAAGCTTCAGGCTTGTTAAAGGTATCAGGGAGCTGTATTTTTGGCTGAAATTGGTGGCATCTTGACTTTTACCTGTGCCTAGCTGGTCTCTTACTTTCATTCTGTGTTTTCCAACTCCCATCTGTATAGTACTACCTACTGAATGTATAACTCATCACGAATCCAGGCAACTCCCAAACTATATCACTGTGAAACTCAACCAGCACAAAGTTCCCAGTGGAAGTAAAGTCTGCAACCTTCTCTGTCCCACAGTAAGGGCCAACTGCAGGTGATGTAGGTCGGCTTCCATCGTGTATGAGCAAGTAGTCATAGATGCATCTGTCACTGTCTTCCAGCTCAAAGGATAACATTTTGAGAGATACCTGGAGAAAATACAACCAAAGCACTTTGCTTCCAGGTAATATCCTTTTCTCTTACCCTTTGTATGTAGCAAGCACAAGTAGTCTAAATTCCTGAAGTGCAGGCACTTTTTAAATTGTGTTTTCACCACATCCTGATCCCGTATTGTCATGCAAATTAGTAGTAAATTATTTCCTTAGTTCATCAGCATTTGGATTGGAAGGAGACCAAGGGGACAAGATTGATCTTGTACACTTGAAATTCTTTTCTCTAGAGAAATATAAACTCAACACCTGTGCAATGTTTCAGTTTTCTAGTGGGAGCCCTTACCTAGGGATTGTTCTGAACAAAGCCTACTGGTACAAGCTAAATTCATGAGTTCACACATGTGTAAAGGTTTTCCCTTGCTGACACCTCAGACACTAAGATCCAACCTAAGTTCTTAAACTGGATTTTGTGTTCAGATTTTTACTCTGAGAATGCCTGCTCAAAAAGTGACATTACAGTTATTCTCCAAGACAAAAAAAAGATTCCATTAGAGAGCACTGATGAAACCCACAGGTGAATTCATCTGTGCCTTACCTTGTATCCTACTGGAGAGCTGATAACCCAGAAGCATGCTTGGTTTTTCGGGTATTTATTGGGGTAGTTTGGAGAGGTGATGACTCCATTTGAGCCTCTGAAAGTATCTCCGCAATTCACTAAGGAGTAAAGGAGAGAAACAGGGAAAGGCACATTAACAAGAGTATTTTGGCAGTAGAAGTGAGCTTGCTTACCCTCTACTGTATTCGTTCTTCTAGCCAAGAAAAGTGTGCTACCATGAAAATCTACTGCTGAAATACTTTCTTTGCTTAGTATTTGTATCAGCAGTTGTACTGAAGAAACTACAAAGATGGCTGCTAAATAACCTTTGGAAGACAGGAATCAACTGCATCTAAAGCTATATCTGTCTTTACAATTGAGTGTTACCACATTGGCATCGCATTATAATGGTACCAACTTACTGCACTTTCAGAAAAGAATTAGCTCAAGTATTCGAGATTGCATTATCAAGCTAAATCTAATGCTATCTAGAAATAAATTCATCAAGACTAAAGCAAAAGGAGTAAAAATTTCTCAGACTAATTTATGCTTTTAAAAAGTTTGCACTTTGAGCTGAAATAAGACAGTGAAATTATTGGCTACTGCCTTCTAACTGACAGCATGTTGCAGCACAGCAGAGTTTTATCTAGGAGTCCATAATGCATTTGTATGTTCATACAACAGACACTCCTCACCTGATTACAGGCAGCATTGTGCTTCATATAACAGAAGCCTTTAATTCAGAAAGTCTAAGTTTAGTATCTCCCCCGTTGCATAGAATGTCACAAAACCTTGAATAACATATTGCCCAGACAATGGGTTTAGATCTCATTTGTTGAGATTTTTGTCAAGTTGTGCTCCTTGGCTGCATCGCTCCTATTAGTTACAGTCATTGCATTGTTTTTATTTAAAGACGTTGTAAAGATGTGAAGATGTCTAGCAGAGGGTCTCAGAAGAATGTGAGTAGGTTCTTAGGATTGCTAACATGCAACCCATGCAAATTCCCATTTTGTGTTTCCTGATAACCTTCAGCTCCATCGTTGCCTCACTTTCTACATTAGCAATTGCTGTGCAAGTGTAAAGAAAAACACAGAAAAACCCACTCTGGAGTACATGTCCAATATTTCCCGTTCTGTCGGACAAATGCTATTAATGCTCCTCTCCAAGCTCTGTAAAGATGAGTTCATACCCCGGCTGTAGGAGGCTCTGAATCCTGTGGCTGTAATGCTCTCATCACTCGCAAACTCTACCAGCACTGTCGATCCAGACACCACTAAGGAGGGCAGTGGCCCCCTCCCGCAGTATTTGTCCAGCAAGACAGGGGAAGTCTTGCTGTTTCCGTTGTAAATTTTTACATAGTCAGAAGAACAGTCTGAGGTGCGTTGGAGATCAAAAGCCTCAAACTGCAGGAAAATCTTGAGAAATGAGAAAACAGGTGTGGGGTTAACGCTAAACACAGTGAATGATTCAAACCATCTAATTCTTATGAACTAGGACTTCATATTCATTTTACTATCCATGTATCATTGAAATTTTACTTTCACTGCATACCAGCACATGTGTAAGAAGAGCATAGAATTTCACCTAGCTACCCTGCTACTGAGCCCAGTGATTGATGCTTGACTATTACTTGTCTTTGAAAAGCCATCCAAACTTAACTGGATAAAAATCAAATTAAATAATGCATCTAATAAGTCTTAATAAGTCTTATGAAAATTGTTGAGTCTTTTCATTCACTGCATAACAAAATAAATGTCTTGGTTCACAGAAATGACTCCCAGAGGGTAGTCATAATAATGAAATAATGCTGTGTAGCCTTGACACTGTGGTTCAAACCTTTTTTCTCCTAATAAAAATTACCTTACTTCGGCGGATGCGGATCAACCATAGGCAGTTGCTGTTGTTTGGGTATGGGAACGGATAATTGACAGAGGAGAATGAGCCTTTGGATTTACGCAGCACAGAGCTACAGCAATCTGGAGGGAAGAACCGAACAGTTGAAGAGAATGAAAACTGCGCAAGAGTCTTCAACAAGCTCCTAACACATCTCTCCAACCATCTGCATCAGTCAAGCTTGTAAAAGGAAAATTAATTATAATGCTTATAATTGTGTTGATGTTCCTAGTGTAAAAGCTATTCAAAACCTGGGAGTGAAATAAAGCTAATTAAGGTACTTATTTGCTTCAGGCAGTAATGTTTTTTTAAATAGAGTAGGTCTTCATTCACAGATATTTGTTTAGTAAAGAAGGCCTGTATCTGTCTTGAATTTCCTTAGCATCAATCACAGTAGTTTCAATGGCATCAGTACATCAACTCCCATCAGCAAATGCACATGTATTCATAGGTCTTTGCAAAAATCAAGCTTGAAAACTAGATTCTGTCAAAGCAAAGAGCAGTAGTCACTGGGGGACAACGACAAAGAGCACTGAAGTCAAGCTACAGACCTACTGACTGGTATACAAAGTCTGATCTCAGCTGTCTTCTGTCTTTACACACGTAGTTTTCAATTATTGCACTATGTGTAACTCCCCAAATTAGAAAATATGAATATATGATACCTGAACATATGAATTTATGATGTTTTTCTCTTGCTCCCTACTTTGAGACAACTGGACATTTTTGTCCTTTTTTTTCATGCCTGAGTTTTTCTCCTTTTTAAAGAAATTAGCCCTTTTCTTCCAAAACACACAGACCTAACTACGAAATTGTATCATAACAGTATTAAGTGGTTCATTCCCAGCCCCACTATCAAGAATAAGCATCATTAAATACTTATCACTATCTTTGACACCATGACAGACACTAAAATTGTAAACTTGTTTTATCTGCAGTTAAGTATTAGGGAGGAACCACTCTCAGCAATGATAACTCTACCTAACTATCCCACTGAAGGAATACCGATTCCCACTAATTGCTCATGTTTGTTTAATTAACTTCTAACACAACTCGGAGCAGAATTTGGTACACTAATATTTAGACTGTGTTAATATTTCTTACTGTTTAGGTGGAAACTAAATGAATAACATCTCAGAAAAGTCAAATATTGTCTAAATCAATTAGCCTATGTACTAGGAGTCGAGGCAAAACTCACGCATTGCAGGAGCACATCTGGTGTTTTACCTGCATTTTGTGCATCTCAGCTGAAGAGTTCCTGCTACAGAGGAATGCTAGGTATTTCTAGACCTATAGACACCACAGTGATGAGTCAAGACATGGACGGGGCAGGGAAGTAGACAATTGCACTACTAATGTAGATGAGACTAAGCTATGATCATGGCTGAGGATAGCTTATATGCTGTGCAACCCTCAGAGCTTTCCTGAAATGAGAAATTTCAGGAGGTGGCAAGCATGGTTTACTTCTCTGATGGGTCAAAGAGCAGGGGCTAGGTGAGGTTAACTCAGAATGACAGTGATTTATTTAAAGTAAATTAACCCTTCCAAGAAGGCAGCATCTTGGCACAGGGACAGGTCTGTTTCCACACCCATACCAGTCCTCTTGTAGGGTGAGGGAGAGATGCATTGAAAGGACTGCAGGCTGAGTTCCTTTGGGGGATGTCCTACAGTGCCTACAGACATCAGCTGTGTAAGGATTCACATGTCGGCTATCTACAGTACTTACTGCACTTGTAGAGCTTGTTGATTTTAGCGACATCCAAGTTACTCAGCCCTTCTCTCTGTCCAATGGGTATAGAGGAGTCAGGAACTGGCACAATAGTTGCTTTCCCTGGAGCGCTGGAGAAATCATACCTGTAGAAATAGAGAAATCCCATTTATAGATCACTTCTCTTAAACAGTGAGGTTCTCTAACTGCATAATCATATTCATGTGCCACTTGCGTAGAATTTCGATGGAAAAGGGCAAGAAGCTTCTCTGAGACCAGTTAGTCTTCCCTAACGAGGACCAGCATGGCAGCCATTTTGTGTGCGGCAGGGGAAAGCAAGAAACAAGAAGCTGCTGCTGCACTGTCCTGCGCGAGGAGAGCTTTCACCCATGTCCCAGCTCAATAAACTGAATCCCACCTTCATGGTTCCAGAGGCAGAGGAGCAGGGGTAGTCCTGTCTCAGTTACTAATTGCTTATTTGCTGTCTGCAATTTCCTGCCTCCTGCTAGACAAGTTTTATTTCACGGTTTCATTCAGAAATTGTTACTTGGTAGTGGAAATAAAGGAGAAGGTACCTGATACAGGTTTTCACATTATGGACTAAAATGCAGCTTTAGACAGTGTTCCCAGATGAATATGAGGCAGCACACAACTAATTGATGATATAAAAAAATTCCTTATTTCTTCTCTCCATACCTAAATAGTGTTGTCTGTGTTCAGCTGTTACTACATTAATGAAATCATTTGGACTTCAGAACTGGTTTAGATCAGTGACTCAGAGCTAGACTTTGGACCTTAGCCATGTCAAAGGCCTCTGGTAAGAGACAGGAGTGGAGTGAAAGAAAACATTGTTCTAATGTTTTCTTCTATCCATATCAACTCTGTTTTCCAGGCATCCCACTGACAAAGAAAGTATACTCATCCTTAATTATGTCCATTCACTCAATTTTAAGTGAACAGCAAAAATCATTCCCTGCACAGAGCAATTCCTTCTTCCTAGATCTAAGCAGATCTGAAAGCTGTTTGCTCCTTTGAAAAGACACCTCAAAAAACAACTTACGCGCCATAGTGCATCACTGAAGAGTAGTCATAGGGAAGGCCCAGATTTTTGGAATTCACTTTTCCAAAGTTCCCTTGCTCCCCTGTAAGGTAGAAAAGCAGTGTTTCAATCAGAACAATTACTGCTGCTCTAATAGCCTGCTGTCACAATCCTGAGAGTCACTTAGGTCACAAATTCTTGTTCTCACGCGATCTTGGATCTATCAAAACCATCAGTCTTTGGGAGCATATGGGAATCCATTTTCACTCCGTCTAGTAGGTTTCAGAACAAAAACCAAATCAAGTAAGTCAAAGCTTTGATATAATCAATGAATCCATTCCACTCTTCAAGTAAAGGTATTCAGCTATCCATCTTCATTAGCGTGTGAATATATTTCAGTGCATTGTTCTGAACATTATAAGCACCCAACCTATCCCCAAAGCAGTCCCCAGAGCTGCATCCATATCTCGAGAGGGAGATCTGGCTGATCACCTGGATGAAAAATTCAGAGGTACAGGTGGTGTCCACCAACCTGTCTTGCTGAATCCTTCCACCAAAAGGTTATCAGCCCACAAAAGAAAGGGATACAGCTTGCCTGTTAATTGCACCAAAGGGCATGTTATCAGCCATGTTCTGGCTTTGCCTCTGGTCAAACCCATCGCACTGACTACAGTGAAATGACATGACTTGCATGAAGCAAGGGCACTCAGTAAGATCAGCTAGAAACATGCTGCCTGAATATAGCTGCTGAGCATCTCGTCACTTTTCATCTGTTTAGCCTTAAACAGCCCATGTGAGGTAAGAAAGCATATAGGACTGGGGCCCAGAGACAGACTGGAATTCATGTCACCTAACTTTATTTCTCCAAGTTAGGCACTGAAACTATACATCAAGGCTGCCGGGATAGTCAGAGGAGATGGAGAGGCACAATTGGAGGGATTTTCATCTGAAGGCACCTATAACTCTCTATTGATGGGAGAGTATGAATACAACTGCACCCTTTGTCTTTTGTCCATGCTAAGACAGACAAGCAAGCAATGTCAAAGCAGGGAGCTGAATGCAGTCAGCCTGCCCGAGGCTAATGCCCTAATCACTGAGCACTCCTTTCCAGTTCAACACAGAATCATAGAATGGTTTAGGTTGAAAAGGACCTTAAAGCCCATCTAGTTCCAACCCCCCTGCCATGGGCAGGGACACCTTCCACTAAGTCAGGTTGCTCAAAGCCTCATCCAGCCTGGCCTTGAACACTGCCAGGGATGGGGCATCCGCAGCTGCTCTGGGCAACCTGTCCCAGTGCTTCACTACTCTCCCCATGAAGAATTTCTTCCTGAAGTACAATCTAAACCTACTTGCTTTCAATTTAAACCCAT